GTGACATCATGTTTCCCCCCGATAGAAGCGCACAGGGATTTTTTTGTTTTTTTTTTTTTTTTTTTTAGGCTATCCTTTTTTTCTTTCCTTTTTCTGGAGAAGGTTTAATTAAAGTTGACAGATATATGACATGCATATGGAAGCTAAAATATTGTACAAAATATTCATCTAGTCACTGCTTCATATAATTAGGTCATTCCAAATGCTATTCCTTTTGCTTTAGTCTTATTAATAAAACACTTGTTTCAGAATTGTATTGGAAAAGTCATAGAACTCAGCTGTGGAGGCAAATAGTTCAACTGAAAAAGTTATTAAGTTGGCTCTATAGTCGACAATGTAACTGAATTCCTTTTTCATTTCTCTGCATGTGTTGTCTTTTTTCCATTTGGGATTTGTTTTCACTGCCACAATCTAAAAATGACTTTTCTGATTATTAGATTAGTATACTGTGAAACATTGTTGAAGAGTAGACACGTTTCGTGTGTTCTTTCACTTCCAAAAATATTCTTTATCAAAAGTGTTAAGCTCTGACCAGGAAGAAAGAAAAGATTTATTAAATCACAGTACCTTTTTATTTGGTTGCTTTATATGCAATCTGTTTTAATAGCAATATGTATTAAATCTTTTTTCTTCTTTTGTGATTAAGGCTTCTGAAGATCTTGTAGGTTGATAGGCAAAATTATGTTAGAAGCTGAGTTATTTGCACTGTTATGGTACTTAAAAGGTTCTTGCTACAAATTTAGTGAATATCTTGATTTGTTTTTATTTAAATTTTGATAGGTTAAAATCTGCTCGAGATGTTGTATCAAGAACAGGGCATTCTTTGGCTCTGGGCTGTCTCCATCGGTATGTTGGAGGAATAGGTTCTGGACAGCATCTGAAAACTAGTGTCAGTATTCTCTTGGCTTTGGCACAAGATGGAACTTCTCCTGAAGTCCAGGTAAAAAAAAGCTCAACCACAAAATTGCTCTAAAACATTCAAGATTAAAAATCAAAACAAATTTACCTGTTTTAAGGTCTGTTTAGCTGAGATGGTCAAATAAGCCAAAACAGACGGATATAGCATGTGCCAGGGAGTATTAAGAAAGGAGAACTTTCCTTAGAAACTTACAATACAGAATCCCAAATATCTATTGCAATCGAAATGCAACCTTAATGTGAGCTGTTACTTAGGAAGGCAATTGCCAAGTGTTCATGTTAATTCAAATCAACAAGTTTCTGCTTGTCAGGTGAGCCAGAGTAATTTGCTGTGGGCATGTTCCTAACTAGTTCTAATTGCAAAGCAAAATGTGCTAATTGAACCTTCATATTCTAAACTAAAGTTTTATCAACTGGCTAATCAGCTGGTTCAACATGTGATCAGCTATCAGAGGCAATAAAGAGCAATAATTTCATTTCTTGTGATACAGTGAACACAATATGACGAAACATCTTTTTAGGGGGTTTATATTATGACAACAAAATCAAAATTTGTTGCAAGATAAACTTTTAATTTCCTTCTGTTACAAGGAATAGGAGATAGTACAGGAATTGGTGGGAGTGAAGTCCAAAGAAAGTAAAAGGAGGGTGTTCTTACCCCAATGGATTATGGCCCTGTGGAAGTTCTCACAGGAGGGCACTTTGGCTGCTAAAAGTTGCTGTAGGGTAAAGAGTGGACACTGAAAGGGCCGTGCCCTTGAGGTTACTGAATATGTATAAACGTTGTCCTGTTCATAAAGTTCCCTAAACTGAAAATATTTGGAAATTGGGAGAATTTAGTTTCCTGGGAGAATACTTGGAGGGGGGAGTATATTGCTCCATATCTGCTCTCCCCTAAACATCTTTTTGGCCTGCTGCTGGAGAATGAAGTGTGGGCTAGATGGACCAGTATGTCTGTCCTTACATTAAGAAGTTGACCTTTAGAGGGAAAATTTATGATTTTCTTTTTTTTAACAATCAAATCTGTCAAAGCAGTAGAATAAAAGAATTACTTAAAAAGGGGAAAAAAATAGAAACCCATTTTTAGGTGAAAAAGTCTTATCTGTAATTATTCTTCAAAGATTATAGTCTAATAGCACCATAGAACAGGTGACTTTTTGTCATTCTTTTCTCAAGTTACTGCAAGGAAATGATTATCTGAAAGAGTGACTGATTATTACACTTTAGCAGTAGGAAATTGTATACCACCCCCAGGAAGGGGCACTTTATACCCACAGAGTGAGAAACTGAAGCCCCTAGTAATTACACAGAATCATACTCCCACATCTATTTAAATTATTAACTTGATAAAATAGAGTACCTCTTTATTTCTTTTTCCTAAGGGAAATAAAAAAGATAAAAACTCATTTATAGCTTCTCGTTTGAAAAAACAAGGTTAGTTTTGTTTGGAGATAGAAGTTAGAAATATGTGAACACAATTTAAAATCTCGTTTACATTTTCTTAGTTAATTTAAAGTAGGACAAAGTTCAATTTGCATGTGTAACCTTATTTCATGTATGAGTCCGAAGCATACACTTCATACATTCCTTTTGGAAACAAAATGGAAAGTATCCCTGCTTTATGGAGGGAAAAAAAAAGAGAGGAGTCTACAGGGGAGGCATTCAGACACCTAGCTTCAATATATGTGCCTAACTTATTTTATATGGAGAGTATGACACCAGGCCACTGTGAAAAGCTAAGTTTGTAAATTTTTTCCCCTCACTAAATGAATGCGGATGCTCAGGAACTCTTTGGGAACAGAAGTAATGGAGATTGGCAAGAACAAAAAGATAAGCTGTAATGTGCTACTCATGTGGTTAGGACTGTAGAATATATGATTGCTAGAGATGGTGCTAATGGTTTTCAGGTTGCATCAGAGAGGACTAAAAGGGAACGATTTTAGAGGCAGGTTTTCCAGCTTACTCCAAAGAGTCTAGCTCTGTAGCCGTAATATTCTTTCAACTTAGCCTTGTCAGTGCATTTGCATCACTTATTAAATAGAAGAAATTTCTGAAATAAGATAATTTAATAGGGTGATATAGAGAGATATCTAATGTTTTCAGGTCTTTTAGAGGAGTTTATTTCCTGTGACGTTTTAGTGGTGGTAAAGATTGTTCCGTTCCCCCCTGCCCCCCTGCTGTTTTGCTTTAAATTGCAGTAAATTATTTTGTATTTGCTCTTTTGTTGCTTGCTTACGTTACAACTGAACAGTTTGATCTTTCATCAACTTTTTCTGCACCCTGCAGTACACCGGCTATATGTAAACAGCACTCCTTTCCTTTCCTGAACCCTCTAATGAGAAAATTCAGTGGTAAATGCACGTGAACCTTTTTAACTTGGGTGGAAGCTGATTTTCATGGCAAGTGTCGCAGGCACTCCCTGATAAGGACTTACCAACTGTCCATTTCAGAATGGACGTTCAGTCTCACAGAAATGATTCCTTCTTAGGAAAGACTCCCCCTTAAAATTTGCCTCCTCCTGTAATGGATACATTGTTTGTGTTTGATCAAAAAATGGTTAAGCATTTTGAGGAGATGGAAGAAAAATACAAACTCCGTCACCTTCATCTCTGTTATGCCCAAAAGCACTGGCAGCCAAGGAACACACAGGAAATATTTCAACCCCTAGATGACTGCTTGAGGTTCTGGGACTTTTGGGACATTTCAGGAATCAGAGAGCTAAGTAGAAATGTTTAAGCAAGGATATACAGAGCAATACTCAGCCTACATACAAATTTGTTTACATTTCCTAAATGTACTACTCAAAAGTATTCCTTTGTTTTTTAATAGACTTGGTCTCTCCATTCACTTGCCTTGATAGTGGATTCTAGTGGACCAATGTACCGTGGATATGTGGAGCCAACGCTTTCTCTAGTTCTTACTCTGCTCTTAACTGTCCCACCATCACATACAGAAGTGCATCAATGCTTGGGCCGATGTCTTGGAGCTATAATAACTACGGTTGGGCCAGAGCTGCAAGGTTAGTGTGAATTTGAAGAGAAAACAAGATAAATAATTTGTGTTAAATGGAAGCTACAATGGAATTACGCTCTTAAATTGAAGATAATCAGTTTTTGTTCCCTGCAGTTACTGAAGGGGGGGAAAAAAACTGGCCAGTTGGTAGTTAAGACCCTACAAACAACCTTAATTTGGATCCTACTTACAGTCAGGGTGGTTTTTTTTTTTTTTTTTTTGGTAGACTGCAGTTTTAGTTTTATGTAAGGAAGTTGCAATTATGTCTGGCGTTCTGGCTAACGGCTAGTTTGCATGGTAGGTAAAAGATGAAGAATATCCTTACTGCATGTGTTTTATGTATAGGCAGGACAAGAGATGAGATTTCTTCCTCCACTTGTTCAGCATATGTTGGTAGTTTAAGCTCTTGCCGTCAGTCAAAGATTAAAGTTCTTAGAGCGTCTAAGCACAGAAAATAAAATCTTGTCATACCAAACCCTGTATCTGAAGTTTTGTGGCTCAGATGGCAAAAACATGGATTAGTGACTTGATCTAAGTGGGAATTTTTTAGGGATATTTATTGGATGGTCTTTGATGCAATGCCAGAGGGCCAGCCATTAGTAAAATTTTGACTCTAAATAATTGGACTTTCATATGTAGTTATGAACAATTTCTAGATGATTGTAACTTGTGTATCTGCTTGCTGTATATTAACTTTTTGCTTTGGAGTGTCCACTTTAGAGCATACTTGTCTAGAATGTTTTCAGCATGTTATGTTTTGCTGTAATTCAGGATGGTTTGTAAAGCTTGTGTAGGTTAATCCTTAAAATACAGGATAGTGCAGTTTTTAAAATCAAATTCTTTTGAATGCTTGTCCTGTTACAGCTGTGTGACTCATCTGATGGAGCCAGCAGACATCACCTGCATATCTGTATGTTAGCTTGAGTGTTAGCTGATATTTTAGGGAATGATTATGTGCGCAAAATGTTGTATAAAATGAAAGAGACTTTCAGAACTGAAATTCAGATGATTTTACTCGTTTCATGTCCTGGGAAGACGCTCTCAAAATACTTCTGACTGAAGATCATTGATTCAAAAGTTCAGTTGGAAGGGACATTGTTTAACTGAGCTAAAAGAGTTGTCGAAACGCTCTAGTTTATCATTAGAAATGGTGTGGGTACTGACTTGAAGTAGGAATTCAGAGAAGTCTCACGTTAATCCTCTGAGCTTTCGTGCATTTGAAATTGTGTAAGTCAAAGGTTTAAAATCTACAGTCGTCATACAATATCCTTAACACAGCAAGATTTTTGTATTATATCGTTAGGTAACGGAGCTACCATTTCAACAATCCGCTCTTC